GCCGGAGTTAAACCACGACACTGACTTCCTAGCTTCCAACCCTAAAAAAGAAGCATTTTCACTAAGGCAGTATATCAGAGCTCTCTCCTTAGAGCTTCTTGCTAAGGAAACAGGAAAACCTAACGAAGCTGCGGAGCTGTTGCATGACGTAGAGCTCTATCAGCTTTTTCTTTTTTTATTTGACCCTCTGCATACTTGTCAAAGCAGTCACCTTCTCCAGAATCAACTCTTGGAATCTGGAGCTCATGATGGTTCACTGTACCTACAAGCTTTAACTTATCAGTATTCGATACAGCAATTATCACAATACAAATTCATGACAGGGTTTCGAAGCTAGAAGGTGCCATCTTGCATGCAGAATATTCAGTCTTAAAGGACTTTTCAAAGTCTGAAGAAATATAAATAGAAGCAACCATTATCCAGTTAAAGAGCCATAACTTCCTCTCAGACATTTATAGTACAGAATAGTGGTTCTTAACAGCAAAGAATTCTCCCCCCCCAAGAGAAGTCAATACAGGGTTTTTTCCCCAAATAATTCTGCAGGTAAAACAGCTTTGCTATAGCACCCTTCAACCTCGAGTTTCTCAGAATTTCTGTATGTAATGCATATAACTAACTTCACTGTGATCCACACCACAGTTCACTGGCCACTGGAGATCAGAACTACCAGCGCTGAAGCCAAACCACCAGAAGTTGAATTTTTCATCTCAGTCTATAAAACATGCACAAGCTGTATGAACGTCGTCTTTGTTCTGCATAACTGCACTGAGATTATCATTCCAGCATCCTGTGATCAGATACCAGTTCATGTTTTACCTAATGTCTCTGATTGTTGCTCTCTTCATGGGATCCACTTGCAGCATGTGCTTCAAAAGACTAATTACTGATGGATTCAGGTACTGAGGGGTATAAAAGATACCATCACATATCTTCTTAAAAAGGGTTGGCACGTGATCATCATCAAATGGAAGGGTTCCACATAATAAAGCATAGAGAATAACACCACTGCTCCAAATATCCACTTCTGGACCTGCATATAATCTGGGGAAAAAAGTCAGTCAGTTGTGTTTAATACATTTAAATAGATTCCCATTAGACACCAAATCCACTTTGCAGGAACTATTCAAAGCTGGTTCACAGAAGCCTTAAATATTCATGAAAAATTATCAAGACAATTAAAAGTTCAGCCCATGGTTTATCAGCATCAATTTTGTCAACTGAACTAGTTTTGTAGCTTCTAGAATCAAAATGACTGAAGCACATGCACACATGTATCGAATACGGATAAAAGACCCTACCTTCCTGAAATTACTTCTGGTGCAGCATAGTTAGGGGAACCACAGCTTGTCCGTAAGAATTCTCCATCTGACATCATGTTTGATAGGCCTGAAAGTGTACAAGAGTCACTACTAAAAATTCAGAGAGCCAAATGATTTCATACTGCATATACCACCTAGAACAAATCACTAGCATTTCAAAATAGAAAATTAACAGATTTATCTCAGTAAAGAAGTAACAGTGTTTGGAATCAATGAAGTTTTTGTATGAGCACGCCACGTAATACTCCATTTACTTTACTGGAAATTTGAGTAACATCAACACATTATTACACATAACCTAGAAATATTTGAGAACATACTCATTCCAAGACAAAAGCTAGTCCAGTTTGGGTGACACAGGCAAAACAGAGAACAAAGTTGCTCTAAAGAAGATGGAGCAGCATAGCAAGATAGGATTTTGGCCGTTAACAAAAACAGGTCTTAAAACCCGCATTTGCTTCTAAATGCCAAATTGCAAGACACTGCCACAGAATAAAATTCTGTGAGAGGGTATACAGAGAGTACATGACTTCATGTGAAGTCATCATGGGTGGTGAGGCACTGGAACAGGTTGCCCAGAGAAGCTGTGGATGCCCCATCCCTGGAAGTGTTCAAGGCCAGGCTGGATGAGGCTTTGAGCAACCTGGTCTAGTGGAAGGTGTCCCTGCCCATGGCAGGGGGGTTGGAACTAGATGGTCATTATGGTCCCTTCCAACCCTAACAATTCTATGATACTGTGATTCACCACCACACTGCTCAGCTGGTTCCTGAATCGCTGCAGTTCAGTACTCTGATCTTAGGTATCCTGTTGGTAATTAAAGTGTTCTTTAGAACCAGGACATCTTCATTCACCAACCCTCAGTATACTCTAATATCAGTAAAGAACTATCACTTCCAGAATAGCTGTGGAAAATATCTTGTAGTTTCCTCGGTGGAGGCTGAATGATCGTGACTACCGTAAGCCAGAAAAGTCAGTCTCTGAGAAGGAATTACGCCCTTTTACAGGGGTGAGGGAGGGTTGAAAGAGTACAGCTTGGCTAGCTTTCATATTCTAATACACAAAAGCTTTTATTAAGCTCTTAGTTAATTGTGACAAGTGTATTAAACGAGTTCTACAGCTTTACTAATACTTTAGTTACAAGAAAATTTTTCTAAGTTACTGTACTTCATTTCTTTACGACGTAAGCCATTTCACCTAAAGCATTTTCTACACACAAGAAATCAATACGATACCCAGTGCTCACATACTTGAACACCACACTTTTAAGATATACTTAGAATACTCAGCATTACCCAGCTCCTTCCAGAGACCTCAAAGTCCTTTACAAGAGCAGGTATTATCCACTATGTCTACAAGAGATAACATATCATGATGATACAGCAGCACGGATACCTTACTATGCTTTATGGCGATGTTTCCCAATACGGAGCATTCCAAGAAGTAGCTGCCAATGTTCTCAGCAGCTGTGTCACAAACAGCTAGTATAAGCAATTAAGCTTTCTGATTACTTAGCCAGGTATATAGCAAAGAAGCACAGGAGTTTCCAAGAGTAATTGCTCTTATTTTACATTTCATGCTTTAATTCCATTTTTTCATGAGGGTTTTTAAAGAAAGTTAGAGCATTTTAATAGGTCTGGTGTATTCTACTACAGCAACATGGTTTAAAGCATGATGAACTGCCCTTGCACTGTATTTCCAAGAGAGCTAAGCATCTACATTTTACAGATGGTCAAACAAGCAACAGGAGTGAATTGTGAAGTGGAAAGGTCAGGAACTAAGTCTCCTTAGCACTTCAGAGAAAATGTTGTTAAGCAAAGGCAAACAAATCAGTTCACAATCTCACTCAGTCGCAGAAAATAGGTAAAAAGAAAGCTTGAGAGGAAAACAAGTTCTACATGTGTGAAAGAACATGATTTTGCTTTATATTCATACTCTTCAGGTTCTTGTATTGTGTCCAATCACCAGGATATTCAAATGCATACATTTTACTTAATATTTCACACAGTAATTAACAGGATCGAAGTAACACCAGAAATGAGATCAGTTACAGAAAAGCGGTGCTTACCAAAGTCAGCTATCTTGGCATTCATGTGTGCATCAAGCAGCACGTTTTCAGGCTTCAGATCTCTATGTACTACCATATGCCTGTGACAATAATCCACACCAGAAAGGATTTGCTGGAACAGACGTCTACTTTCCTTCTCATCAAGCTGAGACAGACAAAGGTTTTAAACATTTATGAGCCAGTGGAAGGTAACTGGGTTTTCATTTATACAGATTAAAGGCAGTTCTCTCATGAACTTAAGTTGGTATTTAGAGTTTTGATACCTCATACAGCAGATTATCAGTACTTGTAGCAGAAAGCATCATAGCCTACATCCTTTTGTTTGTACCACAGGTCTAAAAAAACCACACCCACCAATTCAGCGAGTCACTGAAATTTCTCTTTCATGCTTTTCAAATTGGTTAGGCAGATGTTACATACTCAGTAACTAGTAACATTAGCACCCAATCATTAACTTCCTCTAACTGGAACATCAATGAACTCTGACATTCAAGCACAGCTTAAGACACGCATAAGATGTGATAGATTTTAGATGCTATTTATGCTATTAGCAGCTAGCCCCGAAGAGCAGACTTTGCTGGCCAATTCATACAAATATGCCCTAGTTCAGGTCAAAGTTTGTTCTAAAAACTAACTAAAAGTATACTAGTTATCTAAATGGTTTGTTATAAGTGACTTCAGACCTTTCACAGAAACTCTTCTAGTAGATAAGAAGGTAGTAGGGATGTAATGGTCACTTCCCAGTAGTGGGTTATACTGAAGGAAGTTTTCAGCTACTCCAGCTAGACACAATTCCACCCAGTTTATGCAACCATGTAATTGTAAATTAGCCTATCATTACCAGTAGAGAAGAAAAATGCTCTGACCAAAATCATACGTAAAAGATCTGACGCATTAACATATAAACAGTTTTATGGTTAGAACAAGATGTAGTCATCAAGTATATTTTAATTACTAACAGCAAAATAAATGCCAAATACATCAAAAGAAACCTTCATTTAACAGAGGGTGACTGGTAACCCTGCTCCCTGTTCCTGGCAGTGTGGTTAACATAACTAATGCCATTTTATGAGACAAGCAGCCATTCTGTGACCAAGCTAGTCATGCATTTGCTCCCTTTCTCTCATTTTCAGCCCTGAATGTCCTGTGAACCAAGCAGATGAACCAAACAGGTTTCTTCCACTCCCTACTGGCCCTAAGCTGATTACTGCCTTCCTAAAACCCCCAGGCCCCCCGCCAGCCAGGTGGGGATGACCCTGTCACAGAACAGGGGAGTGTAACAGCACACAGAGCTCTGTCTGCAAAATCAAGTAGTTACAAGTCCTAAGTGGGGAACCTGGACCAGAACTGCTGCGGGACAGTGAGACCTGCGACCCCCCCGTAGCCACGGACACCTCTTGCCCTCTGCTTCCTCTGGGGGTTGAGTGACTCATTCTTTCATAAGATTTTCAAGTCTAGGCTGTGATTGTTGTATTGATACAGCAAACTGTATTTATACTTGACTCACTCTGCAGAGGGTCCAGGTGATTAGAGGGTCCATAAGCTGCATTATAAATTGTGAATTACACTACTTACAAATTGTACTACATTGATTCTGCTTGTAGAAATCCTGTGCCGCTCTAATCATAATATCCTGTTCATAAAGCTTTAATTGTATCATTCTGCCAAGGATCCCCAGAAAGAACCTGTCTGTTACCTCAGTGTCAGGTGGCACAGGAATGTTGCCAAAGCATTAACAGAATGATAGTCACTGATTTGGACATAAAGAGTTGGACTACTTCTTACCCTTCCATTTTTACAGATATAATCAAACAGTTCTCCTCCTGAAACATACTCCATCACCATGAAAATGTCAGTTGGTGTACTGATGACCTGGTACCTGGTAAGAGAAGGTATCTGTTAGTCTACACACTATAAGATGCTAATTACATTTAGTTAAAACCAAAGTTGTGCAGAGTCTCAGATAAAGTACACTTTAAAATACCTCCCAGACAATTTACAGCTAGTGGAATGACAGTGTTTTTCAGCAGTTATTTCCACTCCTTTCGTTATGTGATACCATGATTTCCAAGACTAGCAGGTAATTTGTATTCCCCACCAGGAGTTTCAGCCTTTGTACTCCCAGAGGACTAAGGTTAGTACAAGCGATTTCTGCAAAACTATTTACAGTGCTGCCTTGCAGACAGCTTGGTGCAGTGAGGAAGGAATTCAAGAGGACTTTGCTAGTGTCTCAAAAATACACTTTTCAACCTTAACATGCAAAAAACCTGACTGGCCAAAAATAAAAAGTGTACTTCAAGACTAGAAAAAAAACCTGCTCTTCATAATCATGAATATTATCTTTTACAAAGAGACCCAAATTTGTCACTAGTATTTAAGAGTGTTAACACTTTGTTCTATTGTCATTATTCTACTTCAATTAAGTTTCAAAAAACTCTGAAGTTTTGAAATAACCAGTTTATGGCCAAACTCCCCATTTAAGAGATTCTGATTTTGTTCTACATATCCTTACCCAAGAGTTGCTTAATTGTTTTCCCTTACAACAGTCAGAAGTGATCGATTTTTAATGAAACAAGAAAATGAACACTTCAGCCAAAATTTAGGTATTGTATCAAGAAGACAGGAGGTAGCAACTGGATGAAAATGAATGTTTCAAGGTACTACACTAAAGCATGCAAATATCTGAACTATAGTAATTAACTGAATTCACACATATACTACAGAACTGCAGCGTTCTTCAAAATGCCAATTCCAAGACAAAGGGGAAAACCAGACATGCTTCAGCTTACTGAGACAAGTTGTTTGAACTGCACCGACAGCAATAACGAGTTCAGACTATCCAGGTCAGGGTGTTGTGTGTGTGTGCATACATGTGTTTGTATCTGTTTTAACACCTTAGTACTGTAGTCTAACATTTCAATAATCTCAATACCCTTCTAAGGCAGTTCAAAGTTAGTTTTATCTAAAATCTTGTAGTCCAAAATGCTTTACCTTCACTGATTTTCTCTAATACTTAGGTTGAAAGTATCTTATGTACTCAAATATCAACTACATTCTGAAGCCACAGCTAAGATACTACTACAGAAATAGTATGTATTTCTTTTAATCTGAAAGTTACAGCCATGCTTCTCTACAGTCAGCTCGTTTTTCTGATTATGGAAAAGGAGGTTGTGGAATCTTTACATACCTATATGATAAGTAAGTTTACCAAACCACAGACTACAGATGACCAGAATGCAAAAAGAGGCAATTTTATGTAGGAAAACAAGATGCATTCTATTACCAGAGGTCAAAAACCACAAGAGGAGACGCTCCAAAGCTTTTTATTTAAAGCTATAGTAAGATTTTCTTCCTGCAACAGGCTTGCAATGGTATATATATTGCCAAAGCAGTGCATGAAATAATGTTAGAAATTAGACACAGTCTAATTTTTAATGTTAAGCTGAAGAAGTCTGTTTACTTCCATACCAAATAGCTTAATCTGCTATTTAGTAGTTCCCCAACCCAGTTGCTAGCAGCATGATCCTAAGTTACTAGCAGGTCTACCTGCACAACAATCTCAATTCTATTTCAAATTTGCACAAAGTCTAATAATTCTTCTGCTTCAGAAATGCAGGCTGATCAACTGCAAAGCTAGAGATCCATCAATTTTTCCATCATCTCCTACATTTTATCCGTTCTCTCCACAGGCTGGAGAAAAACATTCTCCTCATAATTGCCTGAGAAAGAAATTATAATCTGAAACCTGACTTAACAGTTTGGCACCACCACAAGTAGACATTCTGTTCTGCTCCCATATCTCTGTGTACTGACACCTCCCCTCTTGTTTTGTCTATAGCTATGTTCTTTGGACTCATTCATGAACTCTCACTAGCAGCACTAGCAATTCTGCAGCCAAATCAGCTCAATAGTCTTCAGTGGTTTAGTTTTTAGAAGAAGTTAAGTTGATCTTACACAACTCAATTTATTCTCAGTGTAAGAGCTGCTGCCAAATTAAAGTGAGTGTATAAGGATGGCATCTGTCAGTGGGGTCTTAACACTCGTCCAGTGGGGGAAAAGAAAAAAAAAACCACTAACACCAAAAGCATGATTAAGATGATAAAAGCCACCCACACTCTGTTAGAGGAAATTAATGTCAGAATCATCAATGGACTGGAAAACAGAAGGTTCAACCTGTACATGAAAAAATACTTCATTGTGAGGGTGACAGGGTACTGCAACAGGCTGCCCAGAGAGGTGGTGGTCAACTAACAAATGTAAACAGGCACACTGTAAACATTCAGACAAGTGGTAGCAGCCATACTGAAAAATTCTGAAATATCAATGACATTTAACAAACTGCACACCCTTAATTCTGAAAAGTCAGTGTCATCGATTTGAGAAACCACAGATCATTGACCGAGCACATCACTAAAAAGATACTTTGAGTAAAAAAACACAACAAACTTAGTAGTGAAATGCCCTTCATAATCTTGTTCTTAGTAACTAATTTTCTAAGCAGAAAAAAATATCAAATATAACCAGAAAAACTGAAGTTGTAGCTAAAAACAGAGATGGATGCTACTAGAACTATCTATCATGTGATTACCTTCTACATACCTGTCCGAATAACTTGTAAGCAACAATATAATGGAAGCTCTCCAGCCCACAGGGAAGATCAGTTTTGTGAAAATACATTACAGAGGATGCTAAAAGTGGTTCCACACTTGGAAGTTGGCTACTTTCCTGACAACATACTGCTAGTAGTATCACCCTTCAAACACATTTCACATCAGCAATAGCAAAGAGATTACTCTGTAAATATGTTTGATTACAGCAAGCAAAACTTACAGCTTAATTATATGAGGATGCCTGAAGAGCTTGAGGTTCTGAATCTCCCTGCGGATTTTTCCTACAACATCAAGGCTGCGAATCTTCTGTCGATTCAGGATCTTCACTGCAACTTTATGCCCAGTTAACTCATGCTTGCCAACTGCAAGGAACAACGTTAGTATTTAGTCAGGGTTTGCAACTGCTCCATAAAGATATTAATTTGCCTATTTCAACTGTACCCAAGAAATACAAGTTAAGATGTTACCATTCCATGTATCCCCATTATCTTATCAGAGTTTGAGAACCAGATGTCACATCATTTCTTCTGCCCTACTCCAGTTTCTCCCGCAATTATATCCTTAGAAGAGGAATTGGATATGTAAGGCAAATCTTACACCTACCCCTCAGAAGTCTTGCACCATGACTACAGTTCTGCACTACTGTAAACAAAGCACATCCTAAAATACTGCCATCCTTGCTAATTAGAGAGACCATTTCCTCTCTCAGTGTAAGTCACTCTAAGCTTTTGGCTCACTTGGTAACTCACTCAGACATGTTCTCCTGCAGCTCTTTTGCAAGAATCACTCTTACTAAAGTAATCACCACTGCCATCCTTCCCTCAAGAAGCCCGTTTCAGCAATTACTCTGAATTACCACTGAAAGTATCTGATTAGCTTAGTTCAAAGACAAGTACGTTACCTGTCTTTCAAGCAGTCTAACCCTATATTAGCTCCACACTCTGTGCAGTAAATTCTAGAGTTTTATTATATAAAGTAGCAAAAGCTACAGGAAATGCACAAAATAAAATCCAACAGTAACTTTGAGGTGCTAGGCAACCACGCCATTTCATACGTTCCTCAGTTTCTTTCCTACTTCTAGCAGAGCTTCATCTTACTTTCAGCAGAGAAACTCGAAAAATGGAAAATATTTCCTAGACAGTAACCCCCTTTAAAGTCCTTAATTTTACAGGTGTTATTGGAATTAGCTGCAACAAAGTTGTAAAGGATATTTTTCTTAAACCCAACATCAGATCAAAGATAAACCACAGAAGATAAGCACCTCTTCCACTAGAAAGAAAGCTTCACTAGCTGCACTGGTTTCTGCATGCAGTCACCACCACATTACTGTCATTGCCACCCCCAAGTCTTACCTTTGGAAGATAAACCAGATTGCAGGGACACCTACGTGGCTCATCCTTGTCTACCTGAATGGACACTGCTAACAGACCTGTGCTGAAGACATTACTCGTTCATTTGGGTGCTTCTCCTCACCTGAGGATTAAACTAAGCCCCAGGCTCCAAGCTTTATTTAAATACATCCATGGGAAGCTGTGACAAACACCAGTGATCCACAAAATCTTTCTGCTTTCAACAGAGAATTTGGATAGAATTAGCACACCTATCAATCTCTAAATCTCATTCCTGACAGAAGACTCTCCTGGTGCCTTTTGCCCCTGTATTGAGCTAAAAGCTGAGGGAAGCCAGAAATTCTTAGCAGAGACACAGTGATAATGATAAGCACCTAGGTGATTATTCTTACAACAAAATGAAAGCCACTGTGTAAAATAAGGCAGTTCGTCTAAATTCCAGTAGGGAAGCAACTAAGTAGTGGATTACCCAAGACACTGGGCCATCTGGGCCAATCTGGTGGCAAGATGCCTTTTGTACATGAGAATACAGAAAGGCTCCAACTGCAAGGTGAAAAACCATACCCCTCATTCAGAGGGGCCGTTACCTAAAAATGGCCACAACAACTGAAAACACTGGACGGCACATTTGCCCTGTGGAGGGCAGGTCAAAGTCCACATCCATCACAACTCCTAGAGAGACACAAAGCATTGGTAGGCCAGTGTCTAGAATTGTAAAATCACATCACCTAAAAGGAGTTACTTGCTTTCAGCCAGATGTACAATGAAAGTAATCACATCCCCTTTGCCTCCTTCAGTTCAAATCCTATCACCCATGTTCAAACCCAAAGGAGTAATGAATCACTAACATAAAACTTCAGAAAAGCAACTATTCCATTTGAATTACAAGATCCTTTCCTATCAATAACATGAAGTAAGACAGAAGTATTTTGGAAAAAAAGTCTTTAATCAGCAGTTAAAATTGGGGTTAGATTTCGGTAAGTAAGAAACAGCTTCTTAGAAACCAATCAAAAATCAGACACATGAATTTGCCTCTTTGCTTTATAAAGAACAGTTAAGGTCTTCAATTTAGTAAGAAGCATATGTGTGAGCAACTCTACAGCTTCGTGTATAAATACGCAGTTCTGACACACAATGTGTTATAAAGTCTCATTTATCACGCGGTTTGCTTCATTTCTGATTTGTCAGTCTACCTTAGACGAAAACCGGAGTTTCGCTAGAGCTCAGAAGAACATTTAAAAGTAATTTATTAGCTACAACAATCTGTATTCAACATGCAAAGCACATAAGAACAGCTTTTCAAAACACATTTTCTATTCAAAGTAATTAAGCAGTAACATTTGCAGTTGCCTGAAACCAATCGAGCTGTCAACCACCTTCAAGGTTGTGTGCCTCAAGCCTTGATTTTATTCACTGACTGGGAGAAAACAAGATTTTCCGCTTCTTCAGCTCTGTTGGCCAACTCTGAATGAACTATTGTAATGAAAGCATACTGTGGTTTTCTGCAGGCACAAAACGACCCCAAGAAGACTGTTCACTATTTTCTGCGGTAGTTTTTGCCTTCCTTATTTAACTTAAGATTATAACAAATCTAGATTTTTAAGATAAGTTTCCCGTAACCATCTCCTTCTTGAAATAAAACTGTTTTCCTGGACACAGTCTGAGTTGCATGTTATCAGTAAAACAGCAGACACTAACTGGCCACAGGTTGAAACCGACTGCTTCCGAATTCAGCATCAAGACAGAAGTAAAAGCAAGACCTCACAGGGTAACATGATGTAGAAAAGTAGGCAGCCAGCACTACCCTTCCAAAAGCTACTCTGTATTACCTCCTGACAGCAGTTTTACCCATGAAAGGGAAGGCCGGAAATACAGAAGTCACCAAAATGTATTTGTTAGTCACCCTAATCCTCAACCATCTACCAGTCCTTCAAAAGAATCCCTGCAAAAAGTTCACTTTACAGACCTAATATTCCCCTATATTTTTTTGTTCTCTGATAACACCAATTGCCTCCAAGCTTAACAATGGCTAGTGACAGTCTCAAAGCAGCAGTGACTTCTTTTAACCGCTGAAGTGCAGGAGCAACCATCTCTACAATCAGTTTTTTTTTTAAATCAAGCTGACTACGAGCCCATCCAAAGTAAATGCAACACTTATGAAATACAGCTACCCGTCATGAAGTTTGCAGGAAAAAAGATGGACAAGCACACATTGTATTTAATTAAACAATTCTGCAGCAGGACAGAAAGCCAACCCGAAGCTCAAAGTTTTCAAAATATGAACTAAACAAATGTTTTCACTAACATAAGAAAAACCACCACCACTAGGAGTTAACGCTGTGCAAAGGCATATTGCTGTACAACATCAGAGAGTAAATTGACCTTTGCTGCCTATCTCGAGGTCTCATCACTGCCTTGACCAAGACGACATATTTACATGAGCTCTGCAGTCTATACAGACCAGGGCTTTTTTACCTAGTTCTACAGACCAGACCAGTTATTGTGTGTTTACAACCTTAAGTAGTGTACCTCATTTTCTCAGTACAAATAACTGGACTACTCTTTTATAAAAGCTGACTTCGTTTCCAAAAGTATGTGGAA